TGTTCCTTGTGTAAACATGATCTTATATTGTATCTCAAAATACAAAACAGGACTAAGCAGATCTTCTCTGGAAGAACAGGGGCAGAGGTTCACTTCTCCCTCACCTTGGCCTCTCTTCACCTTGCCCCCTTCAACTCTGCAGAGACCTTAAGCCCCTGACATATAGTCTTCACTTCTTCCCATCCAAGACTCTAATTATGAAGGTAGATTCTAGAACATGAATTTGTGCCAATGACCAGTTAGCCCCTGCTTTCAAAGGAGGAGAGAAGCCATAAACATAAATCAAAGAAGATTTGCTTTCTCTTAAGAATGAAGGGAGTGGGGGGAAGCTTTGTAACACACAGTGACAAAAAAATGTTTTATTCATATAAATTAAAATGGCTATCACTGATATGAAATGAAGCTCAAACTGAGTTTAAAAAAAAAAACTTGAATTCACCCCGTAAAATGAAACAAAATTGCTTATATGTGACCAAAATAGCTCCACTAGAACAAAAGTAGATTTGCATTACTTCATATGAGAATACAAGTTAGGTTAGGTTCATGTAACAAAAATTACATGCTCTGTAAAATCTCAGAATACCCAAATGTGTTCTGGTTTGGATATGATAGAAACAAAATCTAGTTGGTGTTGGTAAGCAAGCCAATGAGATGCACAGCAATCAAAAAGCTGTCAATAAAAACTACTTGACAGGCCACTGATCCCATAGGAGTCAAAATTCTCCACTGTGACCAGCAGCACCAGCACAGGGGGGTGGAGGGGTTATGTGCAGCAATGCAAAGAAAGGAAACTGCTGTAGAATGCAAAACAGCCAGCAGCAGAGGAAGGGTGTCCACTCCTCAGCTTTGTTGCCTCAGACCCATTCTTGGGTGCCAGGTACATTGCAGCATCTTGAAGCCAGGCACTTTATTCCTCTGGGAATTCTACAAGACCTGTTGCCTCTCTAAATAATGGAGAGGCTCTTTAAGTAAACATTATGATGCCAGATTATATATATATACATATAATCAGAAAGCAATGCTTTGGGAAACTAAAGAAAGAAGAAGTAGGAGCTGCCACACAGAATAGCTAAAGGATTGCAAATGAAATCCAAACTCAGATCACTACCCAATCTTTCTCAGAGAGCTGAGGATGTGGCAGTTGATGCTTGACTATAGCTCAACACAAGGACTAGGCTGGGTAAGTGAGGACCCCATACAGATATAAATCCCACATTCACAGTAAGTAATTGGTTTCTGGGGCTTCTAAGCTGGTCTTCTTAACAAGAACAAAGGAAGTTGAGATAAGGACCTGTGTCTGGAGACATGACAGTTTCTCTGGCAGAATGACAAGGGATCACAGGCCTGAGTGCAGAATGGGTGCATGTGGCAATGACCCAGGGATTCCATTCCTAGGCATATATTGGGGAAAGAAAACATATCTACAAAACCCTGCACAATAATATTCACAGCAGAATTATTCCTAATAGTCCCAATGTGGAACAAATCAAAAAACTCATGAATGGATAAATAAAATGGGCTATGTCCATACAATGGAATATTACTCAGCCAAAAAAGAAATGAAGTACTGCTACATGCTACAACATAAACAGACCAGGACAACATTACACTACAAGAAGCATACCCAAGGCCACATATTATGATTTTGTTCATAGGAAATATCCCAAACCCAGCATCACTCCAAAAAGACACTCCAGTCCCATTAATCATCACTCTCACTGTCTTCTTCTACCAGCCCCCAGTAACTACTAATCTACCTTTCATCTCTATGGATTTGCCTATTTTGAACAGTTCTTATAAATTATATAAGATGTGACCCATTGTGTCACAGTACAGGAACAAAATAGTGGCTCCATAAATATTTGCTGAACCAGTGAAGAAGCAGTATAGAAAGAAAGAATATATGGTCTAGGAAAAGGTCACACAATTTTAGAGGTAGGAGAAATGTCATCTAGTCCAAATATCTAATTTTGTAGGTGAGGAAATCTAGATCCCCCAAAATCCTGGACTGACCCCCGGATAGTCAGACATAGAGTGACAGAAGTGAGAATTAGAACACAAAAGGTTTGATTTACAATGTAGGAGTTTTTGTAGACTAACTCCTCAAAATAAAAGTTCCCTTTTTCTTTCACTTCATCTAATATGATGCAGTGATCAGTACCTCCTTAGGTGTAGGGCTTCCTTACTTGCTTGTGTCTAAACATGGTTGAGACTTTTTCTCGTGTTTTAGGATGAATTTGTTCCAAGAAAAAGACCCTAATCATTTCTCAATATAACCAGGCCCTTTCAACCTCTAGTATTTGGTTACTACTATTGTTTCTCCCTTTGAACAGGTGTTTTGTGGAGATCTCCTACTAATTGGGCTGGTAGTTGTGAGCTGCTGTGAATGGGCTGTTGTCCACCATATTCATCCCTCATCCTTGTGGGCAGAAGCCATGTCTGCTCACAGAACTTAGGCCAGGACAGCGTGGGCCTAGAGTGGCATGGAGGTCATCAGAGCCTGTGTTTCTTTGTCCTAATACCTGGACACTGATTCTGGTAATTCTTTTTTTGCCTGCTCTGAGATGAACTATCTCCCAGAGGCTTCTTCTTTTTTTAAAAACATATTGTTGACTTGGGATTTTTTTCCCTCAATTTTACTTTAAATAAGGAATCTATAATTTCATGGGAAATAGAATTTGACAATTTTACTCTCTTACTCCAGGAAAGATAAGAAGTCATCATAGAAATTATCTTATCTATCAGACCTTGCCCTGATAATGATCATGATGTCAAATGGTAACTGTGGCTATGTTGAAAATGGAGACTTTGGTTCACATTTATCAAATGGGTCTGCACATTTGCATTTTTAGTTACCAAAGAACTTCCTCCTTTTAGAAATATATTTCCAAATTGCTAACAAAGAGGCCTTGGTGTCTATGAGAGCAGAAGGCCTGTTCCTTTGATGCAATCTCTGAACAGTTTCAACACAACTGAACACCTGGTTGAAAACAGACTTAGTTCTCAGAACACTTATCCTGATAACTTAGAAAAAAATAGCTGGTTGACCAGTTGGCCCAGCTCTCTTCTTCTCCTGCCCTTAAATTTACCATTTCCCTTTGTCACTTTCCCATAATGACTATCTGAGTTGGAAACAGATAACTTATGAAGTCAATATATGATGAAATTTCCATTTTAACAGATAACACAAAGTCTGTAATTAAGGGCTTTCAAAAGACGTCAGAAGATCAAATTTCCAGGACAAAGTTGTTAAACTGTTGATCATATCATGAAGCTTAAGAATAGGCTGAGATTTTTGTAGAAACTGTGAGCATTGTGATGACAAAGATTGAATCAAGATATTTGCAGAAGGAACTAACCTCATAGTTAACTCCCCCTGGTAAGTAACAGTTTTCTATTTTTATCCTAGTATGAAAAATGGACCTAAGCTTTGTAGAAAAATTAACTTACCATCAACCTTCTCTGACCCTGCCTCAGAACATGAACAGAAATTTAACAGGTATTGGGTACTGGATATGGCAACCAAACTACTTTGTAACTGGTTTCTTCCCTTTCCCATTAGGAAGCTGACTGAAATTCTACATTCAGTACTATGCCTATATATAACAAATAATAACAGGCTAGAAATTAACAGGTTCTGAAGACCATGTATATAGCCTATTGTTATCAATTTTTGCTTTAAATACTTTTTAAATAGAAGATCTTTTAATTGAGAATTCTCAAATGGAATTTTATTAGTTACCTCTTCTCTATATTTTGAGGTATGAGTGAAGTTTTGTCCAGATAACTTGCAAAATATCTGTTGTTAGTTTTGATCTCATGCAATATAACAGTGAAAAAATACTTTGAGTAAAGAGCTATATAATATCAATGAATCCTCTTCTTATTGCTCTAACTCCTTAGAAGGTGAACTGAAAATAGTTCAAAACTGCTACTCTTATATTACCTGGAGAAGCATAAATTATTACAACCTGAAATTACACAAATTATTTCAGCCCAAGATCTAGTAAAACGTTCTTCATGATTTTACAATCTCATTTGCTCATTTATTTACTCAGAAAATATTTATCGAAACCAGTTTTTGTGTTTTGTTTTTATAAAGGCTTTTTTAAATAGTGTGTCATGGATTGCAATGTAATCAAAGTGTTTGGTGCTGGCACAAAGCTCATCATTTCAGGTTACATTTTCTTTCGATTCTGCACTGTTAAGTAGGGAGTGGAACCAGGGATGCAGGTGCTGCAGGCTCAGGGTGGTGCTGATCAGAGTTCTTGGAATTGCTCCTAGTTTGTTCACTTATCATAGTATGGCCTCTGGAGTGGTCTGGAGACTTGGTCCAGGTCCAGAGAGGCAGGTCCCTGATCTGGCATGGGAGACATTAACAAGGAATTCAGAGTGACTGTGGATCCCTGAGGGATGGAGGCTTAAAACTTTATGCATAAAGGTAAAAGAAAACTGTAGTGGAACACATGATTTTTTAGTAATTTATTTTAAAAGCACACCGAATTTTCAAATACAACATTTTTGTTATAAAATTAGAAAAGGATATCAATGCATGAGTCCTTTAGGAGTAATGGGAAGTATGGGGTGTATATGCCCTACAATATCTATTTGGAAATGGCCCTTAAATTGTCATGTTGGAGCACACAGTCATAGAAAACAAATTACTGATGATAATGATGATGATGATGATAGTAACCTCTTGTGTCACTGTAGTGGTTTTAATCAAATTGGTTTTTCATCTCATTCCATTTTGGTCTCATTTCCTTTCTGGTAACAATACTGAATGGATTTCCACTTTCATCATTGTTTCCAGTTAAATAAAGCACAAAAAACTTTAAAGTTATTTTATTTTCTCAGCCACAGAACTTGTTTTGAGCAAACTAAAAAAGGATCAAAACACTGCTCTCAAGAGAATTCCAGGGCATCATGTGGCCACAGGAATTTGAAGAGCACAACCTAGTCTAACATTTTTGATATGGCTAAAATCACTGTGGTAATTGGATGAGAAAGTCTTCAGTGGTGGAACTAAGCTTGTTGTCACAGGTGGGTATCAGAAGTATACAACATTTCCAAGGTAATATAAGGAAAACTAGGAAAGAAACTATTGCAATAATAGTTTTAGGGGAAAAAAGTGGAATGTAAAGGAGATTTTATGGAGAACTCTTAGGAGAGATTTTAATTGAATCCTTATACTGAAGGAGAACATAGACAATGTTGTGCAAATGCTATGAGATTAGTTTTGTGTACATGTGAACTTTTAAAAGGGCTTATATGTAATATATAGAATAGTATCATTAAGGTGTTTGACTCTGAGGCAAAGTTAATTATTACAGGTAAATTTGTGATAGACTCAAAAGAGAAGACACATTTCCTTTTATTAAGGTCAAGCATGGGGCAGACTTGGAGCTCTTTTTCCACCACTTACTGCTTAGTGAACATGGGAAATTGTTCTTTGGCCTGTTTCCTTCTCCATAAATGGTACAACAATATGAACCCAGCAAAATTAAATGAGAATAGCATGAAATAATGTGAATGAAGTTCTTGGCATATTGTTGAATACATAATAGGTGTCCAAGAAATATTCTTCCAATTAAAATGTGAAGGGAATGTTATATCCACTGTGCAGAGCTATTTCCAATAAATAAAATTTACAATAGATTGTCAAAAGGATTTATATATTTTTAAATATTTAATTTATAAATATATTTATATAAAATATATTTATATATTTATAAATATTTAAATATTTATATATTTATATATATTTTGATTCATGAAAATGAAAGGCTAACATCCACTCACACAAAAAATTTAATGTGGAGGTACTTGATTCTATTTAGCAGGCATCCTTTTGCAAGAAAATCTACACTAAAATGTGTTTTACAAAACATTTAATTCTTAACCTTAATTAATAATAAAATCTGTAGACAATAAGACTAGTCTTTTGCCTATATCAGATCTTTAAATTCATACAGAAAGTGATCAGGATATAAAATCAACTAAATATAGTTGGAAATATTATAAATCTTAAATGAAAAGGTAAATATGAAATAGCTATTACTATTTAATGAAAGAAGACACAAAAATAGAGAACAATTAAATAAAACTTCATAAGCAGATTTGAAATATAATACTTTAAATATAAATTGTGATTGATATTTGATCAATTTATATGGAATTCATATTATTATATCTTAAGTTATAAGCAACTTGGGTAATTTAACTCAAATATATTGATTGATTATTTAATTTAACTCAAAATATGTTGTTTGATTGCTCAAAGGGATAAATGTAAATTAATTGGACAGATTTATTATTTTTTTTAAAAGAGAGAGAATTTTTAATATTTATTTTTCAGTTTTTGGTGGACACAACATATTTATTTTATTTTTATGTGGTGTTGAGGATCGAACCCAGCACCCCATGCATGCCAGGCGAGCGCGTTACCGCTTCAGCTACATCCCCAGCCCCAAGATTTATTAATTTTTAAAATACCTGAAATAAACAGTAGCCATTCTATTAGCTGTGCAAATAAAATAGAATGACTGCCATGGTAAGCATCATACAAAATTTTGAGCAAGAAAAAAACCCACTTTTAATATGTACATTTAATAGTAAAATTTTAAAAGACTATGCAATTTGAGGATCCAGAATGCAGATACTAATCATATTATAAAGAAGTACACTACTTGATGCTTAGGTATGTATTATGTAGAGAAAATGATGGAATTTCTAGGTTATTTTTATCCTAAAGAGAGTGAAACCTAAAGAATCTAGCTAAGAAAAGGAAACAAAAAGTAGTGAATGGTGAGTTATAGTACAGAAAATTTTCAAGTTCATCATTTTTCAATTTCTTTAAAGTAATGAAACAGAAGTATTCCCATGAAGAAAAGCAAGTTTCTAAGATGAAAATTAGACTTGTCAATATATAGAATAAAAAATAAAAGTATAGTATTACAAAAATTTTACCTTTTAAAACCTTTTATTGGAGAATACACACTATCTAAGTATGTGCATTAAAAACAAGATTCATAAAATTAAGCACATTATGACCTAATTTTTAGGCCAAAAACTATTAACATATTAACATTATATGCTTACTGATTTTGTATTAAAAAAAAAACAAAAAACAGGATCTCAGCTGCAACAGGCAGAAATCAAGAATATTTTTTTCCTTTTCTTTTCAAATGAAAAACCCAGTTCTCCTTTTCTTAAGAAATTATGTTGAATTATTATAATAACTTCAAAGTAGCTAAAACATAATAAGTTGGTGAAGTATTTGATTTTCTACTGGAAATCAAATTAGATAGGGTTCCAACACATATAATTTAAGTCATTAGTTTAATATGTGTCTAACCAGTGAACATTCGAGGTGAGATAGCTTTGTAAACACATGATGCTTCATTTTGTTGGTATTATGGTTGTGAGAAACTTTAGAACCTTAACTTTCAACCTTACATCAATTATAAATACATTTTATTCAGCAGGTTAAGATGAAGAGAAAAACTGAGTTCCAAAACAGTTAAGTTACATATAGATTGGAACAAATTTGGGGAGAGGCAATGATATTCAAACGTTGATATGGAGATATGTATAGAACATCTCGGTAGACTCAAACGAATATAAAAATACCCCACTGGTGTAATCCTAGTGATACTTGAATTTCAAGTGAAATTACAAAATGAAATGTGCTTTTGGTGAATATTTTCTAAAGCCAAAAAAAAATTATGATAAGTGCATTAGTTGATAAGATTAACTTCACCAGAGTATTTCTGAAAATAATCAATATGAATTTAATAAAGTTGTGGAAATGCTACTATTTTGCTTGCAAATTCAAGGCACCAAATAATTTGGAGGTGCAACTTTAACTATTACCTGCCCCAAAACTTTGGAGTAGTTCAGATGTGACAATGAGATGTTAAATCAAGTTAGAAATTGATTAGGAGAACCTCAGAAATGTCAGAATAGGTCTCAGTATCCTCATTTGAATCTCAGACATCAACTTGATTGTTAAGTTTACATGGCAGTAGATTCCTGTTAAAGCAAGTGACTGCGTATTATTACAAAACAATTGAAAAATCTACTTCCTGACACTGATTTGTAGAAGAAATAAGATAAATAGTGTGCATTCTAGAGTCAGCTAAATAAAAAATGGGTTGCACAGAATTGCAGAGTATGAGACTGTGAGCTACTTGGCCAGAGAGCAGAAGTGACAAAGGATGGGCAAAGGAAGCACTTTAGAAGGTCACTAAAGTGACCTGATTTCCTTCTCTTCCCTCTTATCCCTGGCAATATTCTCTACTATGAGAAAAGCAAGGAGAGTTAAATAATACTACTTCTAATAAATAATAATAATAATAAATCAGTGGGATTTCATGAGTTTTGAAAGCCTTGGTTAGGAACAGTTAAAAGTCATCCCCTTCTTAGCACATGGAGAAAGGACAAAGGCCAGATTTGCCTTCAGATTTGCAGAGCCACCTAACCTCTTGAACCTCTCTCCACAACTTCCAATAAGAACAATAGAAAGTACTTTGCAACCTATGCGGGAATGAAAGACCATCTTGGGCACTAATTCAATGTCGTCTTATTCTCATGCACTAGGTTTTTCCAAACTATGTAACGTTTCTGTTTCTCTAGTAATTTTTTTTATTGATATTCCATTTTCTCCACAGATAAAAGCTCTGACACAGACATTTCCCCCAAGCCCACGATTTTTCTTCCTTCAGTTGTTGAAATAGACCTCCATAAGGCCGGGACCCATCTTTGTGTTCTTGAGAATTTTTTCCCTGATGTCATTAAGGTATACTGGGAAGAGAAGTATGGTGAAAGGATTCTGGAATCCCAGGAGGGAGACACCACAAAGACTGATGACACATACATGAAGATGAGCTGGCTAACTGTGACTGGAGAGTCAATGTATAAAGAGCACAGGTGTATCATCAAACACGAGAATAATAAAGGAGGGGTTGATCAAGAGATTCTCTTTCCTGCGATAAATAAAGGTACGTGTATTTAAATGTACATATAACCTCCTTGAAAACTTCCATTTTCTTTTCTTATTTTTGAAATTGGGTCTCCTTATGTTGCCTAGGTGAACCTCAAAATCACAGTTCTCCTGTCTCAGCTTCACATATCCCTTGGATAACAGTTGCTTGCTACTGCTCCAGAAAACATATTAGATGAAGAGTATCCTACCCTTTTAGGATGTAGTAGTGAACAAGGATGTAAATCCTTCTTAAATGCCTTTGTAGAAAATGGAAGCCTAAATGGCCTACTGTTTTTCTGTTCATTTAAAATGGTATTCACTTTGGAGAAAAAAAAAAGTTGAAAATTTTTCTTCATCTTTCTTGGCCTCAGTTTCATCATTTCAAAGATTCAGATCACATGATATTCTGTAGATTTTTTTTTTTTTTAATGAATTAGGTCAAACAACAGGGCTCAGTGTGTAGCTCCACGATAGAGGGCTTGTCTGACACATGCAAGGCCTTGGGTTCCATCCCCAGCATTGGAAAAAGAAAGGAAAAAAGAAAAAGAAAGAAAGAAGGAAAGAAATAACATATATTAAAGCACCTAGCAACTTACCCATGATAAATACTAAAGAAAAGTTCCTACTTTTGATAAGTTAGCAAAATAGGAGTAGTTATGTCTCTTCCAGGAATGTTCTCTCAAGCAAACAAAGTCATCAACTTCCATCTTGTTATACACAAAGTTTAACCTGCACAGAATGACAAAATTTTCTGACAAGAGCCAGGGCATGGTTCAACAAAACAGAATCACCTTGGCTGTTGAGTTCCATGAAGGCCTTGGGTTTTTCTGGTTTTTATTTCATATATCATCATTACACAAAATTTCATCATTAAAGATTGGGTGAGGCTAACATGCACAAAAATGCTTGTATTCTGTATAATGAATATATTTCTCACCATTGGTAAACACAGGTCAAAAAATATTTCCTGTACTTCTAGCATATGCCAGGCCTGAACGGCATCCATCTAGGAGAAGAGAGAATCCTCTTTTCCTAATCACTTGGGGTCATACATGAGTTAGGCACAGTTCCTAAAGGAATTCCTTTGATGCAGTGAGGTACATTTCCACACAGCTAAGCAGGGGGCTGAATCTGCAGGGTCCTGATGGCAGTTCAGTGACAGTGCATCATAGTCCTGAGTGTTAAACAGAAGTCCAAATGCCCCAAAGTGGCCATAAGGACTTGTTCTTGTTCTATTCCTTGTGGCTATAAGCCCTTTTCCACCAATAGAACAAGTACAAAATAGAACATATGAAGACCTTTGCCATTCAAGACCCAGATTTCTTAAGTGAGGCTTTGTCTTCTGTACTCTTAGTTTCTGCAGTGATCCATGTGGTTTGAATAGTTGGATTGGGAAAATGCATGATTTGGAGTAAAATTTTAAAAAAACCATAGCTGCTTTTTGTTGCAGGTGATCTCAGACATTTATCATAACAGTGGTTAAAAATGTATCCTTTATAAGCAGAAACATAAAATATAAATAATATCTACTGAATTATAATTATAGAGTGAGACCAATTATTTCTGTAATAGGGGGGCTTAGATTTTTAATGCCGACCTGTCTCTGGGTGGACTCGTTGTATATATTTATTTATGTACATATTTAAATAGCACATACACTCATGCTGTCAAATATCTGCCATGAATAATTGACCAGTACTTGCTCTGGTTTTTAGCACGTGTCAACAAGACTGAAGCTTGCTTTAAAGATAAATATGGTAAGTTTTTGTGTATGTTTGCCTGCATGTCAAGCTTTAGCACTTTTCTCCTTCTTTATCATCTTCACTTTTGAACAGCCCTGGTATAAGGTGGGAAACCAGAATGGCTGCCTGCTGTAGAATAGACTGAGTGATCTGTTAAATTAATGCCTCACTTCTTAGGCATCGTATTAACACAGAGAATTATTGATTTGCATAGGAGATGACTGTGATTGGAGGATACAATGATATGTTTGAAATATTTCAACAAAGGAACTTCTTTCATTCACCTGTCTATCATTTCAAATGACTTGGGAAAACGTGATATCAGGTTGATTCTAGATTTGTTTCAGAGTTCAACCTAGTTACTAACAAGTTGAACTAGTGCCTACATAAGGATCTTTGACAGAAGACCTTGGATTGTGTCCTCTGTGCATTTTCTTGTTTACTCCTCATCATACAGATATTAGTGGTACAGTAGTTTTCTCTGTTTTACTGATGAGGGTGATGAGCTAAAATTGATTGAGTCCCTTGCACATGCCACACAACCAGACCTTGGGTTTCAACTCAGGCCTTCAAATGAAGAGTTACTCAGTTCTCTATTCTTCCTTGAAGATAGAGTCACAGAGCAAGAAGTTCCAAAGCCTGGGTCCTGAGGCAGAATGGATACATGGTGGGGTGGGAAGTGCATGGGCCTCAGAGTACCACAGACTGGTCCGTTCCTCGTTCTCAGGGCAATCAGTTGTATCCACATGGGTGAGTAATTTCTATTTGTAAAACTCTGCCAATGACGAATACTTATACTAAATCCGCCTATATTAAAGAGATAAAGGTACAAATGTGAATGTCTAGCATAGGGCATATCTTTAGCAGAATAAAAACTAGTTTCTGGCCCTTTTCTCCCTTCATATGCACCCAGAAGGTGACCAGAGGCATTGGCTCCAGCCAGGCCTACCTTTCCTGCATTTCCAGTATCCCTGGTTCTGGACCTCAACTGTACCTCCACTGCCATACAGGCAAGGAGAGGCTGGAACCCACACCTGACCCAGGGCAGAGAACCATGAAAACTTTTCTGGATATCTCTTTGTACACTGAGGGTCAATCTTGAGTTCTGACTCTACGAAGATGGAATATGTACACGGAATTTTCTACAATAAGAGACTTGTCCTTGTGGCCACAGTAGCCCACTGTCATTATCTTTAATTGTTACATGATATCATATATTTCTTATAAAACTTCCAAGGATATCATATGTCATTACCCCAAAATATTACAGCATCAACAAAAGCATTTAGAGAAGTAAGGGGAGTGTGACCCAAATCCCCTAATATCTCCAGGAATTTAAATTAACTTCTTTTTTCCATTTTACATGATGTCCTCTTTTCTAAAATCTCCCATTCATCCTGCTCTGAAAATTCTGCCCCCTATCTCAATTCTTTATCCCCTTCTGAGAGATCTCACTGAATACACAATGTGCAATGTCTTAATCAGCAGTTCATCTTTGTATATGCCTAACCTTCTTATCTACAGGGTGGTGATTACACTTGGAGATGAAGAGTCACAGAGTAGATGAAAATGTATTTATTAAAGTCATGTTGCTGGGATCAAAAATCTATGGTTGTCACCAAATACCTAACATCAGCCAAATTATTTATTACTGTGTCCAAAATTTGTATGCAAAATGAGAATGGAATTAATCCTTCTCATAGGTCTTCGTAAAGATTCAGTAAGAGGAGAACTTTAAATATGAAGCTCTTAGAATACTGTTTGGCCTTTGTTTACTGGTTGATTAATATTGTCTCTAATTATTATTCAGAGACAGGTTAGGGTAAAGCAATTTGACTACCTAATTTTCACATATACTTTTGCTTCTTGTTGACTCATCTATTAAAAATGCAGTTCTGCTTTTTGACATTAGGAGGTTCTAAGTGAATATGACAGAGGTTGTTAATGAACTTGATTATAAGCTAAATCTTGCTCTTGGTAGTTTGGGTGAGACTGGTAGATGTTGACCTTTGGGGTTTGGTGGGGGTGGTGTCACTTCTGTGTATGTCACAAAAAATAAACATCTATGGCACCCTCCCCCATGAGGAGTCCTTTCCTGTCAAAGAACAGGTGAAATTAATTGCACAACTTCTGTTTAGATGCACTGAGGCTGCAGCTCACATATACCTCCGCCTACACCTCTGCCTACTGCACCTACCTCCTTTTGCTTTTCAAGAGTGTGGTCTACTTGGCCATCATCACCTTCTGTCTGCTAAGAAGAACAGCTGTCTGCAGCAATGGGAAGAGCTCCTAACAGACAGTGGTACAACAGGATCGTGTTGTGTTCTTCATTTATTGTCCTGAACAGCATTTGATGAGGACCTGGCTGGGTTTGTTTACTGAGTTCGGGCTCCTTAAGTTCATATGTGTATTATTCTGTCCTTATTGCAGAAGGTTTTAAAACCAATGGGCAAACTCAGGAACTTCACTCTGCAACAACAGGGAGTAAGCCCATGGTGGCCCCTTGTCCCTCTGTCTCCACAGTCCCCATCAGCCCCTCCAGCCAGCCCAAATCATGGCAGTGTTTGGTGTGAACAGAGTACACCTTTTAGTCACAGCCCTCAGTGCCCTTTAAGCAAAGACTATCTTAAAGTCTTCCTTTCTAAATGCCCTAAAACAGCCTTGTTTGCTACTTGGAATCTCTGCTTTGTCTTTCACAGTAGACACAATAAATTTTAAAAATCAATATCTGCATTTGGCCGTGCATATTTTAATTTGATGAAAATGAATGTTTCCAAGGTGAGATACAGAATGACGACTTAGCCATGACTTAGCCGAATGTGTCCCTCTGTTCAGAGATGTGGAACTCTCCCTGCCCTGGGAAAGCAGACACAAAGGCAGGAATTTTGGAAATCACTGAGAGCTTTGTGGGCTGACATCACTGGCTGGGCACTAGGCAGCTTTTTCTGTGGTTTCAAAAGGGGTTTTCATCCCCTTCCTTCCCCCAGTGCACCTGGGTGACCCTGAAGTTGAGCAGTGCAGAGGGAGAACACTGGTGGTGGGGGACACAGAGTGGGTAGGGGGTGGGCACTGGTGTGGCTGATGGTGTTTTAATTTCTCAGGATTCTTTTGTTTCCGTGCTCTGTCAAATGTGGTTGATTTGTGGAAAAGACTCAGTGTCAAACCAGCCCCTGCTGGTTAGGGCAGCTCAGGGGTGGCTGGAGTGTTAGAAGAGAAGGCCAGGGCAGTTAAACCACAACCGACTTTGTCACTTTTGAAAAGTCACAGTGAGTGGGAAAAAAAAAAAAAAAAAACATCCACCTTTATATGGGTGAGGCTGGCTGGGACCTGCTCTCCCTGCTGTGATATGCTGGGCTCTCTGTGTTATATATGCAAAGTAAGTTATCCTTTGTGGGAGGAGTTGGGAATCTGATGTTCAGGATTGTTCAGACACCACACCTTCTGTCCACTGTTCTCATTTCTTTCTTTTCTTTTCTTTCTTCTTTTTTTTTTTTTTTGTTGTTTTGTTTTGTTTTTGCTTGTGGTGCTGGGGTCCCAATACAGGACTTGAGCATACTATCTATGCAAACTATCCCTGAGCCTCATCCCCACCCTTCCTGACACTGTTCTGAAGGAAAGAGCAAAGGTGAAGCCCCAAGAAAATACTTAACATTCCAACAAGTGTCTGGCTTTTCTAGGGTATTTGATTCAAGGATTCTGGTACCTTTTTGTTTTATTTTCTTGGTATAGACCAAGGAGGAAAACCCATGTCTTGAAGCCATTAGCATAGGTATCTATAGATATAGACAACAGCAAGGTGCTTCAGGAGTAGAAAGACATATATAGAATCAAAATAGTCCTTCTTCAGAGAAAGCATGACATCAGATTCAACCTAAGTGATGTTTTACACAGGACATTAACATCACATAAATAGGTGTTTGGAGTCAGTGAGAAGAGGGATGTAGGCTAATTTGAGCATAAAAACAAGAAAGTCCCACCCCTATCCTACCCAGCCATGGTGCAGAGTGGATGCTTAAGTCCTGTCCAGTTCCAGGGGTAGTGTAGACTTTTTCAGTCTGACTTTACAGCACATTCTAATCATACACTCATTTTACATTTTCTATGCTCACTGTCAGCCTTTAAGAGGACAAATATTTCATTCCTCCTATGAGGATGAGCTCCATTCTACTGGTTTATACCGGTGTATCTGGGGTAACGCTCCTTCTTAGATAAAATTATTAACCTGACATCTGGCTAATCTGTGGATTTAGTGTAATTTCAATTCCACTCCTGAGATGTAAAAGGCATTTTGCTTACTAAATATGTGTTATTTCAACACATCAAGCATTCTTTCCATTAGGATCCAGCATGTGATTTTCTTTCAATTAGTAATTGACAGGTCAGATTCAGTTTTTCTGAACAGAGGAAGGATCGTGATATGAACTGACTGACAGTGGAGCATGCTGGGACTTGCAAAGTCATCCCCCATGTGACCTAGGCCCTCTGTTTCAGAGTTCCTCCTGTGGTAGCTTCATATGCCCTTCCACTATCCCCACGTCCCACCCACATCTATTTGTTTGAGTAGTGTCATGTGCAGCCAACATCCCCAGTCCCTTTTAATAAAGTAGATCTAAGGATGATTATTAGATTTGCAGTTGTTGGTTGCCCAAAAGTCAACTTAGAGATGAAGTGCAGGTTTCAGGCCATAATAAAAAAGTTTTATCTCAGGACAAGGTCATGGCAGCAGCAGAAACCTGAAAACTCTGAACTTCAGGAACCTGAAGTTCAGGAAGATAGGCATTTTCATACAGGGCTCTGCCTCTGACCATATTTGTGCTCAACCTGATTCAGCTCTTGTGTTCTCCAGGCTCCTGGCTTCTCCTCCTCTGCAGAGGGCCTGCCCTCAGGGTCCACTGGGGGGCGCTAGAGAATTGAGCAGAAACAAAGAGGCTGGGGCTCCTCCCAGCACCACCCCTTCTGGTAAACAGCTGGGTGGTCTTCTCAGGCAGCTCCTCAGTTCCTTCTCCTTGTCTCTGACTCAGTCAGGAGGATCAGGGGGATCTAAGTCAGTGCTGGAGGTATCACTTCCAGTTTGAGCAGGATTTGAGTGTTGGAAGGCCTTTCTTCTCCTCTTATCATCTGGTCCTTTTCCTTGTAAGCCCCAGGGAAGAAGACATGCTGTGGGCTCTAGCCCTACTTCTAGCCATCCTGCCTCCTGGTAAGTATGTGGCACAGATGTAATGGGATGTTGCTTTCCCCAAAAGAGCCACAACAAGGAATTCCATTCCCTCTTTGCCATTAATTTATATTCTTGTTACCATTCTAGGTAGCCAAACATCCAGGTTGGAAGGGAGAATGATGTCAGTCACAAGTTCACCTGGGTCATATGTGCCAATCACTTGTGATTTACGTGAAGCAAGTACCTGCATCCACTGGTACCAATTCAAGGAGGGGAAGGCCCCACGATACCTTCTGTACTATAATCTTCTCAATTTCAGTGTTGTGGTAGACTCAGGAATCATTTCAGAAAAATATGATGCTAATAAAGGCCCAGATAGGAGATGTAAATTAGTAGTATGAAATGTGGACGAAAGTGACTCTGCTGTGTATTACTGTGCCTACTGGACTCGCACAGTGGTTCAGACCTGCCTTTATCTGTACTCAAAATGTTGCTTTGACTGCTCCTAGTACACAGATAGAGATCAGCCCCTTCCTATTTCCTGCACCTGACCTCACTGTAATCTGAACAAAGGGAAACCATGAACCCAAAGCTTAACTATTGCCCTGTATCTATAACACTCCCACTAGCACTTATATCCTGCTCCCATTTGCACCCCAAGACCAAACTCCCATTCTGCTATCTCTCATCCTTGGTCAAGCATCCTGGCTGACAGCATCATTTTCTCAGCTCTCCTAGAGCCTGGTGGAGGCTCATTCAATCTGCTGACTAGGAACACAAGGTCACTTAGAGTTGATCAGTTAGAGGTGACATGTAGGAGAACATTATGGAAGGCACATTGCATTGTATCATTTATCCAATCATGACCAACATATAATATCTGGGTATGACTCTAATTCATAACTTAAGATTAAGAGAAATGATAGAATGAAATATTTGGGCTTCATGAAGACCTCATGCAGACTGTCATAATTATTGTTTTGAACAAATTAATATTTCCTCCACCATAACCAACCATGGTACTGCTTGTATGAGCGAGAACATAGGAAAAGATGATTGTTGTAAATATGCTACCTTTTGTATCTAATTACACACGTCAGAGAACATGACTTCAAAGTCCTTTTTGGATATCGTCAAAGATTCAAGAACCAAGAGGCTTCAGTCTTCAATATTGATGGGAGCTTTTCTGGGTGTGACAAGTGGTGGTGGTTGCATGACAGCCTGAGCAGGAACAAGGATGCAAGATAGTGCAAGGAGCAGACTAGTGACCTTGGGTTTTCTCCGTGTGGCTTAAAGCCTAGGGATTTCCTTAACATGCCTGTAACTGTTGATTAGGCCCCTGTAATCGGTTGATGTGAATCTCCTATTAGTCTATTTTTACATTGTTTACAAACTGGCTTGTTTGGGTCTTTGTTATTCTGGAGATTTCTTGGAAGCTTTTATCTTACAATTAAACAGCTTACATTTTGGGATTTTTGTTTTGTTTTGGTTTGGGGAACTAGAATTGAACCCAGGGGTGCTTAACCACAGAGTCACATACCCAGCCCTTTTAAAATAAATAAATAAATAAATATATATATATATATATATATATATATATAATTTAGAGACAGGGTCTTGCTGTATTGCTTAGGGCCTCACTAAGTTGCTGAGGTTGACTTTGAATTCATGATTCTCCTGCTTCAACATCCTTGGCTTCTGGGATTACAGGTGTGTACCACTGCTCCTGGCAACAGTTTAGGTTTAATGATAGGGAGTCTTTGCACAGTGACTCTATTTTGGGTTAATCTGTTAATCTCCTAGTACACAAGCACAAGCTCCATCTTTATAGATGACCTCCCATAAATTTTGCTAACATACCTCTTATTGAAATTCAGCCTTTAGTCAATCTATTCTCTTCTAAAAGAACAAAACTGAAACTTTCTATCCACATCTGCCCTCTTTTATGAACAAACAGATGTGCCATTACCTAGAGTTTTTATTAATTTATAACTTTTCTCAATAATTAAAACTAACAATCTCTTTGATGAACAATCATATCAGGATATTTTATTTTTAAATCAAAAAGTCATACAGAGAAAGGGGAAATCACTATTAAGCCATGGTTAGTGTTATAATATTAATCCAGATAAGAGGAAAGTGAACAGCGCTAGAGGGTTGGCTGTGACTATCAAGGGAAATAGGTTTGTAGAAATTTTAAATTTCATGTTCTGAAATTTCATTTGTTAATGGTATAGAGAAATAAAATAGATTCTGCAAGGGTATGGGTGCATTTTACCCATTAGTCTTGCTGAATTATCTTATCAATTTTTATTTTATTCATTGATTCTTTAATTTTTCCCTGTTACTTACAAATAAAGACAGTTTTATTTCTATTTGAAATTCCTAACTTTTATTAATTTTGCATTCTTAATGCCCTCGTAAAGACTTCTGGTAGAATATTTTTAAAAAGTGAGGTGACTGGCATCCTTGTCTTAGTCCTGATCCTGCAGGTGTTTCAGACCCAACTGTGTCACACAGTGGACATTTATTCCATGGTTTTGTGTTCCTGGTTATGTATTTCTGTT